ACATTACACAGTGAATTCACATCACAAAAGGAATAATAGTCACACTGATCCATGGGACGAGTGGATAAAATCTCCCAACCCCGGCTGCCACCCGACCATAACAAACGTTGCACAAGACCAGCTGGGTTGATCACTAACCTTGTAATAGTTTCAGCCTCTAAGGTCTTATATTGGTAAATGACTTCCTTGCCGTTACTCTCAAGCGAAAACTTTACGAGTCTAAGCGTTCTTCTCCATGAAACTCCAGTGAAAGCATAGCCGGTCCATGACCCTCCTCTACTGATCAAAAGTTCTCCGCTTGTAGTAACCAGTTGAGGATAGCCATGAGCATCTATGTGATACGAAAACTCACCAAAGCCAGGATCTTCTGTGTTTCTCCAAGATGTGAGAAACCTAAAAGGACCAGTCACAAAGTTTGTACGAAGTTTCATTCCTGCAAGGAAAGTGTCACCAGGGTAATCAAAACTTTCCCACAAAAGGTCTTTTGTGCTGTCTCCATCTTGCACAACAAGATTTCCCGAGTCTAGAAGCTGCATGACTGGTTTCTTAGCAGTTCTTGATGAATTGGAGGACCACACAACACTCCCTGAGGCATCAAGAATAACAGGAACTCCTTGTTCTGTTAATGTGAAAAAGGCTGTTGAGTTTTTCACTGGGGCATCTCTGTTGGCCACCCACACAATAGTCTTTGGTGATATGTTCTTGTACCATATACAAAAGTATTGATCTTGTGAATTTACAAACTGAAAGAATCCAGCTTCAAAAGTTCCAGCAGAAGAAACCATGGTCGTATTGCCTTGGATTGATTCATTTGGAGTGAGAGTAAGGGTGCCTTGTATAGATAATAGGAACGTGGAGAAGATGCAGAAAAATAAAACGCGTAACATTGTTAACTTGTTGTGTTTATGATGGTTTTCCATGGTTACAAACCTCCATAGTTCATTTAACTAAAATCACTGGAAGAAAATGGTTGTCCAAGTCCCTAAGACGTGCCTTTTGTGTTGAAAAGTCTTCAGAATAACATTGAAGCTGCATTTTTAGACCAATATCACATAACAAATTAAGAAATTGTCTATTGTTGAATTTTTTACACACCATTTCAATTGAAAGAAAAATAGTTTTACTCTGTACAAAAATCTTACAATGGTTTTAATTTCTGAGGGAAAAGCGATAAATGCACACAAAACACTTGCATAATATAGTCGTGTGAAATATCCAACACGTGAGGATTCACTTTCGGATAAGAAAGTCTCAGTGCAAGTTGAGACATGAATGAAAAGGGGGACCAAACAATGCAGTTAACAATAGGACCCTCTGCTTTATGATATTTTTAACAACTACTGAACAGGTTCATTTGATGTCCAACTAATAGAGTTGACTTTCATATTCCATTCAAAGATGAAACACTAGAAATTAAATGAAATTAGATGTAAACATGTTGCGGTTGAAAATAATTCAAGTTAATTCTCATATTTTGTAAAAATTAATGTTTGTATTTTACAAAAGAAAAATTCATAAATCCTTTGCATGTTTTCTGCACCTGATCATACTGCTAACAGCATTCGGAACTTGTGGCACAAAAGGCTTGGCCATCCTTCTGATA